TTGGTATATCGAAAAGGTTACTTAACGATTGCAGTTCAGGTTGAATCGGGAAACGCAGGCCCGACATTATTTGATCCACGAAAAAAGTAAAACAACCCTTGGGAGGGCGACGGAAGTCGTCTTCGGGCTTAGGAGCGACTACAGCCCAATCTGAGGGAAGGCCGCTGAACTCTCTAAAGCCATCGATTTCGGCTGCAGGAGCATAAGAAAACGATAGTAAGAACTTACCACAGAACATGCTATAGTTGCAGACTCGATTAAGGGAAGTCATTATCAAGTAAAGGAACAAGGCTGGCCGCGTGTATGAGGATGTTCGAAAAAATCTAGCGGAAAATACCTCGAGGAGCCAAGTCGGGGTAAGAGGATTTAAGGGTTTTGAGAACTTCGGGATCATCACAAAGGGTGCCCGAAAGTAACGCCTGGTTATACACAGCCCAATCGATACCGAAAGGTGAGGCATGTGAATGGACAAAATCCTCCGGCTCGACGTTTCGATGAGAACACGGCTCGACATCATTTGGGTGAACAGAGTCCGAACCTGAATAGTTATCGATTTCACGGGCGAGAGAACCGGAGACGGGGTCAGAAACAGGGTCGAGATTGGAATCTAAGAAGAAAAAGAACGGCAATCAAGAAAAGTTATTAGAAACCGTGATTCGATTCAAAGAGAAGGGTCAACAAAATAACCAGGATGACACGAGAAGCGTCTCGACGACGGGAAGAAAGGGAGAAGAAATAAGAAAAGTAGTTCCCATATTGATTCGACTTAACAAATAAAGGTCAAGTCAGGAAAGGAAGAGAGTCGATCTCATAACAAGACGACTAGCAAAAGAGAACACTTGAAAAGATGAAAAACTTACAATCAGAGATCTAACAGGAAAATCGCCAGAAAACTCACATGCAATTCCCAGAAAATGAAAGATGTTCTTATTTCCAGACAATTTACCCAGAAAAATAAAAAGTGTTCTTATCTCGAAATACGAAAACAAGTCGAACAGGCAAAGAAAACTTACTCATACTCATGATGCTTGACGGAAAGTCCTGAGAAATCGGAGAAGGATGCCGGAGAATAAGAGCGTCGAAAAGCTGTGTTTGCCGGAAAAAAACAGAAAGCTTAAAGGAGGTGAGTGCGAAAAGTGAGGACGAGGAAAGATGGGGATTATTTATAGAGAGGGCAGAGAAACCCCAGCCCTCAGATTAAAGTCACTCTCAACGGCTAAGATGATGCACAGAATACGAAGCGGTGGAGAGAGAAAGTGTCTTATCTTTTGAATTTTGAAATTTGAAAAGATCCAGACTTATCCAATCAGTCCGAAATACGATTGGGTAAACACCACTTCGCAAGTCGCAAAAACGACCGGATATAATTTAGGGCAACGACAGGCGACAGGATATGAGAAAAGACTCGAGGAAGACACTCGACCGTCCAGAACTTACTCTTAAGCTCAGAATCGCTTCGAGTAAATTTTGGGGGGGACTAGATGATATAGCCACACTGGCTCATAACGGTTCGTATCATCATGGTTCGAAACTATCAAGTCGACTTCAACAAAGTCGACTCCGCCAGTAAGGCTCCACGATATCAGTCAAGAATCCCGGCTCTCGACTGAGTCGACGTACACCTGTCGACTAGAATAAGTCGATTTCTGCCAAGACAACGGTCAGACGTATCAGGGTCCACTAACGGTTGAATGCGATCTAGTCGACTCGACTCAATATCTCAGGTCGACTGAAGGAGTCTTGCAGTTCGTAGTTCTCGATAGCTTTGATACACCTCAGCGTATTGAGGGAGAGTTAAGGATAAGAAGGAAGCTAAGGAAGGATCTAGATGCTGACTAGGAAGTAGGCAGAATACGAACCGACCAGGGTATTCTGGACATTTCTAGTAAGTCGGTCGGGGCACTTTGGGGACTTCAGGTAAATGTTGCACTTCTATATAAAGGACTGAGGTAATCCCAAAACCCTAACTCCCATTCATTCCATATTCTTTTCATTATTGCTGCTGCTCTCAGAGCAGCTCTCTTCATCTCTTTCATATACTGACTTGAGCGTCAGAGGCTCTACGCCGGAAATCCCTCCGGCGTTGAGTTCTTGCAGGTGTTCTTGTGGTTCGATAGCAATTTGGAGACCATCAAGACAGATCTGAGCTCGTTCTCATCGGTTCATTCCAGATCCGGGCGATTTTTCATCGGTTCACCCCAGATCCGGAAATAGACCCATCATATATATATATAAATTCATATCCAGTCACACACTAAATCTTCATATTGTTCCTATAGCACTAAAATTAAATATCCGAAATCCTATAAAAAGTGGTATGTTTGGTTTGCACTTTTTTTTCGATACAATTTAGTTCGTAATCGAGACTATTAAGATGATTCAGTTAAATCCACTTCAATTTGACGCTCTGACGACTGTAGATTTCCAACTCCTAAATCCGCCTGGCCCAGCACAGCCAGTCGGCCTGATCCAAATAAAAAATCTAAAAAAACGCAAGTCGTCCCTAGGGCCGGTTCCGGGGCAGCCTACCGAGTTAAAAAATTATGTACATGCAGCCCTGAATCCGGTCAAATTACGGGCTTGATTTCGGGTCTGATGAGTACAGGCTAGGGGTGTTCACGGTCTAGATTTGTCCGATTTTAGCTTAAACCATGACCAAACCGGACCTAACGGTTATTTTTTTTTTTTGTCCATAACCAGACCGAATTGAGTAAATGGAAAGCACGGAGTGAGAAAAGGGTTTTACCAGTTCTCCTTACGGAGATTTTATTTTTTTAACGGCCACAATTTGGACCGCATTGGACGGTCCGGTTTGGCGGTTAACCAGTTAAATCCAAAATTCTTGTTTTATGCCTTCAATTTTTATTTTTTTTTTCATTCTGGGCTTAATTTTATTTTTCAATTTTGGGCCCAATAGAGATTATTTGAGTCTAAAAATTAAGAAAAACAACAATAATGAAATAAAATACACAATTTGTCTCACAAATTTAAAAATACACATTTCGTCCCATAAACATAAAAATACAAAAATGGTGAAAATTAAATTATGCAAACTAAACCCAAGCAAGGTGGGAAAAAGTGAAAAGTTATAGTGTCTTACAAAATTAAGTCAACAAAATGCCAAAAATTGAAAGTGAATGTATTGTATTTGTCGACCATATTGAATGAATAAATATATATATATATATATATATATTTGTTATAGTTTTTTAATATTTATCGGTCCGGTCCGGTTAAACCGGCGGTTTGACTCAGATAATCTGTTAACCGGACCGGTTATTTCGGATTTTTAAAAGAACTAGTATAACGCCCGTGTATTACACAGTCGCTTGTTAATTTTTTTTCTTAAAATCTAAAATAATAAGAAAAAAGTAGTTGAAAATTTAATACCTTTTATAAAAATATATTATTATATATTTAGTATGACACTTTTTATTTGTGCGACTTACTTGTGTTATATTATAATAACTTTTTTAAATTACAACATATACATACATTAAGCATAAATATATCAATTGAGAAATAATTTTATTTTTCTAATGAATTTTAATAAATATTATTATTTTTTATTATTATAAATATTAATATAATTTATTTATTTCATATCCTCCCTATATATAATTCCAGAATGCGCTGAGCCTACGTGGCTGTTTCTGGTGCTTCGGAATCGTATTTGGCGAAGAATCATGCTTCGTAATTAGGTTTGGATAAATAATATTGATATATTAATAATTAATAATCTAGGTTCGGGTATTCCATAAATATTATTTAGCTAATTTAGGTATTTTAATATCACTTTTACTAATATAACTCTTTAATTCTTTATAATTTTACATAGTGAGGCACTAAGTGACTAATATATCCCTGAATTTTGATTTGTTTCCTTCAATAAGCTATTGAATTATAAATGTATTTTAAAAGTTGATAACTTTTGTATTTCTTATCGGTTTTACATATATAATATATCAAATTAATCATCTTTTGATGGACTTCGATTTGACATCCATATTGTATATATATGAAATAAATAAATTATATTTATATTTATAATAATAAAAAATGATAATATTTATTGAAATTCATTAGAAAAATAAAATTATTTTTTAATTGATATATTTATATGTAATTAGTTATATATTGTAAGTTTAAAAAAATTAGTATAATATAACACAAGTAAGTTGCACAAATAAAAAGTGTCATAATAAATATATAATAATATATATATTCTTATAAAAGGTATTTAAATTTTCAAACTACTTTTTCTCATTAATTTTAGATTTTAAGATAAAAAATTAGCAAATACCCGTGTAATACACGGGTGTTGTACTAGTATACAATATGGATGTCAAATTGAAGATCATCAAAAGATTATTAATTTGATATATTGTAAAACCGATAAGAAATCCAAAAGTTATCAACTTTTAAAATACATTTACAATTCAATAGCTAATTGAAGGAAACAAATCAAAAGTCAGGGATATATTAGTCACTTAGTGTCTCACTATGTATAATTACAAAGAATTAAAGGGTTATATTAGTACAAGTGATATTAAAATACCTAAGTTAGCTAAATAATATTTATAGAATATTCGAACCTAGATTATTACTTATTAATATATTAATATTATTTGTCCAAACCTAATTACAAAGCATGATTCTTTGTCAAGTAGGATTTCGAAGCACCAGACGCAGCCACGTAGGCTCAGCGCATTCGGAAATTATATATAGAGGTGAGGTGATGATTAACCACCAGACTTTTTAAGATATTTTTAACCGAACAATTAACCCATCCGCGATCTGAATTAACGGTTTTTTTTCGGTTAAACCGGACCGTGGCTTGTTGGGGTCGAACACGCGTAGTTGCACGGTGCATCAACTAGTTAACTTTTTATTTTCATTGCTAACACTCATTATATTTACTTCCGCTGCATTTTAATCTTGAGCACCTCTTATTTTCTTTGTACTTTTTCTACAGAAGGTTGCATCGACTCGCCAGTTTCATGGCATCTAAAGAGTCCGCCGACAACAACCCAGGTCTCCAAACTTCGCCGGATGAGGCCACCAAAGGCTATTTCTTGCAGCAAACTGTGAGCTTTCAGAATCGATCCTTGTTTTCTTGATTCTGGTTATTCTAATCGCTGCTGCCATTGTTCTAAATTGTGTAATGGAAATTATTTTGTAGGAACCAAACAGGGTTAGGTCGTAAAAGCGATTTGGTCGAGAGTAACATAGTACCCTCGAGTTCAATTGAATCTCAATTGAAGCTTCTGTAACTTTCTTGATATTCTGTCCGATTCTTAAATTGAACCGAACTCTTAACGATTTTTAGTCGAGCTGAAAACTAATTGAGCTTTTATTATACATGTGAAATGTTTTTTTGTTCTTTTTAATCAGTTGTTGAGCCAAGTTCATGCTTTAAATGTTGGGTCTTGAGTCTGAGTGGAAAGTGTCTGGATTCGTCTGTCTTGATTGTTGAAGTCATATTGATAATAGATCGCTTGGCTGATATATGTGTGCTTCTGCTTCTGCAATTTCAGATGCTTCGGGTAAAAGACCCGAAAGTCAGTCTCGATTTCTACTCTAGGATCATGGGCATGTCGTAAGTCTTCTTATCTTTATTTCTTCTGAATGAAACAGAAAAATGATTAAAGTCTATTATTAGGATAATCGGCGTGTTCTGTTTAGTATTACCAATCATAGGATGTCTCTGGAGGGTTTTTCTTTGCCATGAGTTTATTGTTAGGATCATCATGATTTTATGGATTTTCAAATGCTTTAGTAAATGATTTGCTTACATTTCATGGCTCGTATTTGCAGAAAGAAAAAAATGGTTACATGAAATAAAGATTATGCAGGGAAGTGTTGGTCTAGTTTCATCGAGTTTATTGGGGTAATCTCGTTAATGAGGAAGAAAGTTGGGATTTAAGAAACAACGATACATTCAAGTTGTTTTTCCTTTAGTAAAAAACGTTTGTGTGATGGATTGAATAGATTTAAACAGATGGAGACTAACTTAGCCTTATACATATGGGAGAATGGAAATTTCCTGGCACACAACATCATTTTTTTTTTATGTTCAATTTTTTCCGTAGTCTTTTTCCTCTTAAAATGAAGCTACACTAAATTTATGAGCAAAATTTCTATGACATTGAGATGGCACTAACGTTCATATAAGTTTCTAGTTTTCTTGTGGCTTGTATACCGAACACCAGTTTGATTGAGGGTCAACCCAATTGCCTTTGTTATTTTCTGGTCTACAGCTTGCTCAAACGGTTGGATTTTCCAGAGATGAAGTTTACCCTATACTTTTTGGGATATGAGGTAAATTTATCAGTTAATACACATATTTCACATGGTTGTTTACAGAAAGAACCGTTGTGTTTTGGCCTAAATAGAAAAAAAAATAAAAAAAAATCCATTTAATATCCATAGTCTACCCCTGATATTTGTTGTCTTACATTTCCCTCCAAAAGCAAAATAGATTAAAAACCACTCTTCAATGTAACAGACATATTATAGTTAGCCCCTTAGTCCTTTTACAAAAAATCAAACTTTATTGATTTTCAGGGATTAGTCCACATCTCCATGTTAAAACTCTTTTGTGCGTCTCCAATTCCCAGTTATCGTTGCCCTAGTTTTCTACTATTTTAGTTAATTTCTCTCTCTATGTATGAGTGGTTTAGGATACATCAAAAGCTCCTGGTGATCCTGTTGAGCGCACTTCGTGGACTTTCGGTCAGAAAGCTGTTCTCGAGCTTACACAGTAAGAGCTAGATTTGTCGTACATGTTTTATTTTTTACCTTCTTTTCTTTTCTTTTTGAGAAATATATTTTAGATCACACCTCTCATATAGCTGTTTTTCATGACAGTAATTGGGGGACTGAAAATGATCCTGATTTCAAGAATTATCACAATGGGAACTCAGAACCCCGTGGTTTTGGTACGTGATTCAACTACTCTATGCATGGGCACACTTATTTGGCATAACTTATGCAAATAGTTTGTGTTCTGATATATGAAACTTGGAATTTCAATTCAAAACATGTGGAGAACAGACTATGAAGTGTGGAAATAAAAAGGAAGAGTAATCATGTCGTTTCAGTAAATCTACCAAATGGAAGATACTTATACATATATAGGATTATCCCTAATTATAATTTTTTCAGTTAATTGATTTTTTTTTTTCCTTTTTATTTATTTTTTGGTTATTCGGCTTATGTATTCATATAACTGCTCACCGTCTCTTGCAAGAAATTCTCAGATATGGTTCATGTTTTTTCAATATGTAGTCTAAGATAGTCTGATTGTAAATGGGTGTTCGATTATATGGCATATTTAGTCCTGTTTTGGTAGACTAGATTTCATATGTAATTGCCTCTTTACAGGACACATAGGTATCACTGTTGATGATGTGCACAAGGCATGCAAGAGATTTGAGAGTTTGGGAGTTGAATTTGTCAAAAAACCTGAGGATGGTAACTTTTTTTGTCCCTCTAATTCGTAAAATGGTTTTTCCCCTCTGATGTTGAAGATATCCGGTTGCTATATTTCATTCCTTTGTGTTAATGCATATGTTATTCATTTTGGTCTAATTAAAAAATTTAGCAAGACATCAGGAAACTTTTTCAGTATGGAGTTTTCTCTTCGAATATTTTTTTACCATTAAGAAATTGAATTAAAATTATTTTTTATTAATATTTGTAAAATTCGTTTTATAATCTTTTGTACATGTTTTTTCCACTTCTTGTATCCATTTCATTGGCTTGATTGGTTGAACTTTCTCTATGTTCGTTAATGTTTCTAGAGAATAGTTTGGGAACATTGTCTGGAAGTATGTTTTTTTCAGGGAATTGTAAGTTTCGAAACATGACTATGATTGTTGATGTGATTCCCTTTTAGTTATTCGAACTATAAGCATCAAGTTTAACTGTATAAGTTTACTTTCTGGAAGATTTTTACTTCAAAACTTCTAATTCTAGTTTCTATGCTATCTCGCATTACAGGAAAGATTAAGGACATTGCATTCATCAAGGATCCTGATGGCTACTGGATTGAAATATTTGACACTACAACAATAGCCAAATCAACTGCTAATGCTGCTGTTTGATCCATCTTTTGTTTTTCTTTCCGGTCGGTTTTTGCGCCTCCGGTGTTATTTCTCATGCATAAAATGTCCTTTTATGTAAGTTATGGATGACATGCATACTCTAGAAAATTCTGTAACCGAACAAAAGCTTGTGTTTGCAGCAGCAATTACTTAGAACGAATGAAGGTTCAACCGCAAGGCGAGTTGCTCCGTTACACCATCCCTACGCTACATCTCCTTGGGTGATTGGACAGAGTCCTACTGATATTTACTTTAAGTTTTGTTGGATGTGTGGGCTTTTGCCACCCAATGGTTTTGAAAAGGAAATTTTCTGCAATTTTGTTGGATGTGTGAGTTTCTAGTTTCTACTACCAAATGGTTTCTAAAATGAAATATACTGCAGTTTTGTTGGATGTGTGAGTTTATGACACCAGCATAAATGCAGTTGTCCTTACAACTTAACAGTTAGACGAATCGGCCCATCATCCCCTTCCACTATTTGTACAAAACGTGTTGAACCTAAATTTCATTAGGTCACTTTGAATGGTGATATGACAAAATAATTTCATTAGGTCACTTTGAATGGTGATATGACAAAATTTTGTGCTTCGTAAATTGGTTTGTATATATAATATTAGATTTTTTCACGCCGTGCACGCACGGCGGTCTAACACCCCGTGTAAAACTACAGTAAAAAATTGTCATAAGTTGCAGCTTCGTATGTTACAGTTGTTCACATATGTTGTGTTTATTTCTTCATTTTTATGGAAATGTTTTTTTAAAAGCCAGTATGTGCGTATGCATCCCCAAACTGATTTAAAAATATTTATTTTTAAATGTAAAGCACATAATAACATTAATTTCAAACATTTGCTTACTTTCTGAATCTAATTTTTCGGTCATGCCTCCTCAGTCCAGAAAAAAAAAATAAAAAAATGTCAATTTTATCATTTGCTTAATGAGAAGCTTTGTGTTTGTCAAGAGGAGCTATTCACTTATAACATAAACAAGTATAAAATTATAGAACTTAAATGAATAGTAGAGATTCTTGTATGCTTGATCTCTAGTCAATTACAATACAAACGAAACCAAAAAGTTCTATTTGAATAGAAAAGGAAAATAAAAATAAATTGTAGAATTGAAGAACAAAAACAATTTTTACTCCTGGGAATATTTGTGGAAAACAAATGCTTAAAAGAACAAAGAACCTACTAAGGAATCTCTATACTCACAAACTTATTTCCAACAGCTCTAAATTAATTGACCTCGATATGAAAGCAGATGAAAGTAACACACATCACCAAACCATATCAAACTATTATGAGCTTCGAATCCATAATGCAGCTGGCTGTGTGAAAAGGAAAACTCAATTCTAATAAAAACAATGAATTGAGAAGTATGAAAATCATTACGGATTAGATTGCACCACATAGTAGACAATTTATGCAACATCATCGTCAAATAGCCTAAAACGATTCTAAATATCTCAAATCCAAATTAAATTAATCCCCACATGAACATAGATTTCAGTTTAAATATCATAAATTAACTTACAGATCAGCCGAGCAAAGTGCATATCCTCTCGGTAGGAATTGTACTTGCAATCCCCCAACATCATTCTTCAAGTTGTGAAAATGAAGACAAATTTGGTGTCGTTCATCAAACATTATGCCAACAAATTAAGCCCAATTGTTCATCATTAAGCCAGCAATGCTTAATTTCTCCCTGCGCAGGGAAGAGCTAACTTTATTATAGAAAATTATAAGGCAACCATCTCTTTCCATAAATGTAAGAAATCTTAAACTGAGACATTTTCCTTTTAAATTGAAACCTCTCATCGGGAATACAATAATATAAATTGAAACTTTTTACTGAAATCCCCATATGTGCAAAACAGAATAAAAAATATGACAGATAATTAGTAAAAAAAAAAGAATCACCTTCGTATGACAAATAGAAGAAAAGTGTGCGTATCAAGAACTTTAGGAATATAGACTGCCCGGTTTACTGTACTACTATATTTTCCACGGTTATTGGTCTGACATCCAAAGCCAACGCGGACGACACTCTCAAGTCACAATTCCCACAACTTCATTGCTAAGCCTCTTTCTTTCGGTTTGACCAAGAAAAAAAACATGTATCTATTGTCCAATCTAGTATTTGATAACTTTTAGTTGCAACCATTGTCATATAAAATATTAAAGAACCATTGACTGAATAAATAATTATATACATCAAAGTTGAACAACAATTAACCTGATCCCCGTGTATCATAATTCCATAACCAGAGATATTAATAGAGCAAATTTATATCCATTAAGCCCAACACAATCCTACCTAGACACCGACAAAAATGGATCGTAAGCTTAAAAAAAATAGGAAACAAATAACCCAAAAACCAAGACACGTCTCTACAGCCAAAAGATCGGTTGTGCAAGGCCAGCCAAAGTGCAGGTGAGCCATGCGCATAACCTTCATTCTAGAAGTTTGCCCCCCCCCCCCCCCCCCCCCCCCC